GTTGACAGGCGGGCAAATGATGATGATGATAATGCGATTGAAGAACAACTGAACTGAAAAACAGTGCGCACTATTACATCATCCTCAGGTAATCGCAAGGAAATGACATAGAAAAGACGATAAACAGATAAAAAAGTATAACATACCTGGGGTAATGACAATTAATTGTGATGAAGGTGACGGTGATCGTGGTGAAAGCGATGATGAGATGATGGCGATTCGGTGGGTTTAAGTGAAAACGATTTTCCTCTTCCTTTTCTTCTTTGGAGACTTGTTCAAGCAGAAAAAACTCACAGGTCAAAAGTGAGGGTGCAGGAATGAAAAAGAAGCAAAAACACAGCAAGCTGATGAATTCTTTCCAGTGAAATGGTTAGAAAGAAAAAAACTCGGTCGCCCTGGTGGTAGTGAAGCAGCACCCTCTTCCAATGCTGACTGACTGGCTGGCTGGCTGATGTTAATGAGCAGACGACCAAACGGTGAATGAGGAAGTGAGTGAGAAGGTAAAAGAAGGGAAGCCCAATGCCAGCGATCGACAATGTGGCAGCTTTCCCAGCGAGCGGTGGTTGTCGTAGTCGTCGTCGTAGTGGTCGGTCTTTTAGTCTCCTGCTGGAACTGCTGCTGCTGCTGGTCGTCCTGGTTAGGGTGGTCGGTTGGAGTTGGTGAAGGCCCAAACTGTAATATACGTTCAATGAGAGAGTATTTGCACAAAGGTGTGAGAGGGCTGCTGCTGCTGCTGCTGCTGCTGCTGGTACACCAAAAAGAAAGAAAGAGACTGAAAGAAACACTGGGCGACACACTTTCTTAAACCAAACTCTCTTCTTTTCACCTGTTTTCGGTGCTTGTCCGTTGGCTTTTGTTGGTAGTTTTGTGGTGGAGGAAGCATTGCACACACACAAGCTCTTCCAGGCAAACAACAGCGCGGTCTTCTGTTTGTGGTTGTATGCGGTGGTTGCGATATCATATCTCAGAGACGGACAAAACAAAGCCGAAAGGATGGAAGAGGTAAATCAGAAGGGAGAGAGAGCGCGTTAATTGCCTAGTTATTGCAAGTTAAATACTGGCGGCACTGCAAGATTTACTGAGGTTGAGGTAATGAGGGTGATGATGATAAAGATGATAACACATCCGACAGAGCCCCATCACCGCCGCCGCCGTCGCCACCGGAACCTGAAAAGAGAACAAGAGTGAGAAAAAAGAGAAATTGAGACACAAGCCAACAAGCACAACGAATCGTTTGGTTACAAAGACACCCGAAAAAAGAGCAAATTGAGACCCAAATCGAATCGAGCCATGACGAATTCAATTTCGAGAGCAGCGAGAATATTTGGCAGATTCTCCCTACTGTTTTGCCGCCCGCCCCTCAGGTGGCAGCACAGTCGACAGCAATCACATGTTTTTCAGCGTGCTGATTTTCTGCTGCTGTTGTTGTTTTGTTGTTTTGGTGATCCGCCGGCAAAGATCTTCTGGTTTTCTGGAACCTAACCAGCTTTATCAATCAGATAACACACCACAATTGTCAGCTCCTGCTGCTGCTGCATCAAAGAGAAGAAGATGCCTGCCTACGAGCTCCTGCTACAGATTAGAAAGCTGCAAAGGGTAAGTGTGCTGCGCTGTTGCCAAACGTTTTTGTCAATTTCTAATTTGGAACCTCCTTTCCACCGTAGCCCGACCTGACCGTGGCCTTGAAACGGGCGGCCAACTTTATCCTCGACAACAACGGCATCCTTCGAAAGATCGAGAACCTGGGCACGCAGCCACTTCATCAGAGGGTGGGCAATCCGGTGCCCAATGCCAAGCCGTACACCGAGGCCAGGTAACACTCACTTTATCTAAATGCAAATCGCAATCAATTTCGAAAACCATCAACAATTCTAATTCTTTCCATTTCACCCCCTCACTCTTCTCCACCAGCTTCTTCCTCTACCACCTGGACACCTCGCCCGATGTGATGCGGAAGATCCACGAGGACTGCCGCCGTGACAATGACTTTGTACGTGTCTGGTGGGTGAAGAAGGCCAGCGAACTGCCCGACGGTTACCAGTGCACGCTGGAGGAGGAGATGAAGCCGCCGGCGCTGCGCCAGAGTGTGCAGAAGTTGATTGAGGAGGGCCGGCGAAAGGAGCCCGCGTACGACATGGGCGACAAGGCAAATGTTCGCCAGATTGCCTAACTGTGTGTGTGTGTTGGGCATCGATTGCAAGTCATCAGATGCCGCACTCAAGGAGATTGTAGATATTATATTTGTAGAATAATACAGTGTATGTTCATCAAGACCAGCTCGGTACCGCCACATTTTTTTCAGATTAAAACTCGTCAACACCTCTACCTTTACACAACTGTTGTCCACTTGGCACCCAAAAGGAAAGATTCACTGCCAAGCGATGGCATTGCTGAACCAGCATCATCTACTTTTGTACAACTTTCTGCCATCTTTAGACAGTCACACAGCTTGCCGCCACCACTATTCCCAAAAAAAAGCAAACGTTGATGCAATCAAACAGGCCGCAAATGTTCAGTGTCGTGTCGTGTTTCTTGTCGAGAAAAAAATTCGGCAATTGTCAACCAGTAGCAGCAAATGAATGTACAGCAAAGTTTGCCTGTTTATAATTATCAATGTCAACTGCATCAACTGACAAACATAGAAAGAAGAGCAAGATTAGTAGTGCACCAGTGCCTTTACGATCTGCCTACTTTTAATATGCTCCAAATTAGATTTGCGTTTGCCACTGGCTTTGGCTAAACTCACTCAAGGCAACATCATTTCACTTTTTTGTCCCTGCTGCTCAAATCTTTAAAGAGTTGCATCTTGGCCAAAAAAAGTGAAGTAAAGTAAAGTAAAGTTGCACTGCAGCAAAAAGAAGAGACAGTCTGCCGAGCAGCCAGCAGCGTCTAATTTCCCTAAAGTAGAAAAGCAGAATTGAGCAGGCAGACATTCCATTGGCAAATCCACCCGCAGCCAATACAAACACACACAACTTCAAGCTGAAACTGAAACTTTAAACTTCTACGCTGCAGCTGTATCAATTGAACTGTTGGAGAAAGCTCTCGCAACAATTCTGTGACTCCGCTGGTAGCAACAGAATATTCTCCTTCACACTTTTGCTAGCTTACGAAAAACTGATGGCCACCAGCAAACAGGCAAACACACACAAACAAACAAACAAGAAAACAGGAAAAGAGCTCAGAAGGGGATTCTCTCTTTCTATCTTTCTCCAGCAAGTTGGTAAACATCGTATTCAGCAGAGAGAATCCGTCGAGCGAAACTGAGAAAGGAAAGGAAACGAAGTCAGAGACTACTACTGTCTGGCGGCGAATGTGGGCGTCAAGTCAAGGCGCCTTGCATGGTTTTCCGCAGCAGCAGCAGTTGCAGCTGATC